CAGTACCATCGCTTGAGTTAATGGGGAGTTTAAATCTGAAGTCTAACATGGAACAGATTTTCAAATCTTTGGAGAAATTAGCAACAAACTCGAAGCAGACTTATGAGGAACTCGACTTGATGTGCACGTAATGTACCGTTTTGTTTTTAGTTTATAGAAATTCTTCTATCTACGTTCCTCTCGTGTTCTTGCAAGAGTTTTAACTTTAGTAAATTAAATGAATTTTGACAATAAGATATATTCAAATCACGAACAGTTGATTATTAATCCAAGTCAAAACCTCAGGGGTTTTTTTCCTTGCGTCACAAGAAACATTTTTTAATAATCCGGTTTAACTTATGGACAATGCTATTGGAGAATTGAATAATTAGATTTTATGCTCGAACAAGAAAACAAATTGGGATGGCGAATTTATCAGGTGGTGTACAATCCTCATCATTCTCAGATCCATCTTCACTCAAATCTAGCCAAGTGTTTGAGTAGTCTAAAGAGTATTAAGGAAGAATGGTGATGCAGAGGACAGAGCATAACCTTCTCTGTTTAGCAAACCTATACCGAGTGATTCAGTTCAATCTATTCGGATCTTTTTAACTTTCTCAAAAAGGCCTAAAGCCCATATAATCTCAAAGAGCTCCACGTCACTTGTAAGGTCATCAAAAAACATAATTTTCACGTGTCACCCGACCAACTAGAAAGATCGCATCGGCGGCTTTAGACTTTTCTATAAAAAGTCAAACTTCTTGTCAGCCAAACACTACTTTACTTTCTATTACAGTCAAATCTACAGAGAAAGATCCAGAGAAGAAGAAGATGGATTCAGTGGATTCTCGAAGTGGTTTCTGCAACTCGAACTCGACATTCTACAGCCAACGGAGACCGATTCCGTTACCGCAAAATCCTTCTCTCGACGTTACAACTTTCATATCTTCTCAGCCACATCGTGGTCGTATCGCCTTCATCGACGCTTCCACCGGTAAGAATCTCACTTTCTCCGAGCTATGGCGTTCCGTCGAATCCGTCGCCGATTGTCTCTCCCATATGGGGATTCGAAAAGGCCACGTCGTACTTCTCCTCTCTCCGAACTCCATTTTATTCCCCGTCGTTTGTCTCTCCGTCATGTCACTCGGCGCCGTTATCACCACCACGAACCCTCTCAACACTCCCGGAGAGATCTCCAAACAGATCAACGACTCAAAACCAGTCCTCGCCTTCACCACGAAGCAGCTCCTCCCGAAGATCGTCGCCGCCGCGACGGGATCTAAGAAGCTCCCGATCGTGCTTATGGACGAGGAACGAGTTGACTCAGTTGGTGAGGTCGGGAGATTGGTGGAGATGATGACAAAGGAGCCGAGTGGAAACAGAGTCAAGGAACGAGTTGACCAGGACGACACGGCGACTCTGCTTTACTCTTCGGGAACAACCGGGATGAGCAAAGGAGTGATCTCTTCTCACCGTAACTTAATCGCTATGGTACAAACCGTCGTGAATCGGTTTGAATCTGACGACGGAGAGGAACGGTTCATCTGCACCGTTCCTATGTTTCACATCTACGGTTTAGCATTGTTCGCTACTGGACTACTCGCTTACGGATCGACGATCGTGGTTCTGTCCAAATTCGAGATGCACGAGATGATGTCTTCGATTGGGAAGTACAAAGCCACGTTTCTTCCTCTCGTTCCACCGATCCTTGTGGCGATGATCAACGGTGCTGATCAGATTAAAGCGAAGTACGATCTGAGTTCTATTCACACTGTTTTGTGCGGTGGAGCTCCGTTGAGCAAAGAAGTGACTGAAGGATTCATGGAGAAGTATCCGACGGTTAAGATCTTACAAGGTTATGGGTTGACCGAGTCAACGGGTATAGGAGCCTCCACGGATACTGTTGAGGAAGGTCGGAGATACGGTACCGCCGGGAAATTGTCAGCGAGTATGGAAGGGAGGATCGTGGATCCGGTTACGGGTCAAATGCATGGACCTAACCATACCGGTGAGCTTTGGCTCAAGGGTCCTTCTATAATGAAAGGTAGGCTTTTTTTAACTCTCGAGGATTGTGAATTTTAGGATTTGAGAATCATTCTTGATGCAGGTGTTGTCGTTGTTGGTCTTGTTCAGGTTATTTCAGCAATGAGGAAGCTACGAGCTCGACACTTGATTCTGAAGGATGGTTAAGAACCGGAGATCTCTGTTATATTGATGAAGATGGATTCATATTTGTGGTTGATCGGTTAAAAGAACTGATCAAATACAAAGGTTATCAGGTAAAATATATAAAACACCGCCGATATTGATGCTATAGATTTATAGCCCTTAGGCAGCATTAGGGAATGCTAATGCTGATGGATCAAATCATCTTTTGTCAATTGATGATAGATTCTGCACATAGTGAAATGCTGATGGATCAAAATCATGTTCTGTTCTAGTAATGAGTTTCGTTTGACTAGATATGCTCGAAACCTGACCTCGTTCCATCGAACAAATAAGTAATTTCTACGTCCCGTGGGATAAGTAGTAGAAACGTTTCAACTCTGAGATTGGAGATAGGAGTATACTCAGAACTAGGAACATCACTCATTTATTAATTTTTCCAGACTGTAGATTAGAAAAGCATTGAATCTTTGGCTCAATTTAGCAAAAAGATGAAATTTGTGCTAAACTTCTTTTGGTGATCATCGCATAGGTCCCGCCAGCTGAGCTAGAGGCTTTGTTGCTCACTCATCCTGAAATCTCTGATGCTGCAGTCATCCCGTAAGTCACAAAAGCACTCGGTCGATTTCTTACTAACCTTGCTAGAAACAGTCTTGAGTTTATAAAGTTTTGGTGATTTACAGGTTTCCGGACAGAGAAGTGGGGCAATTTCCAATGGCATACATTGTAAGGAAAACAGGGAGCAACTTATCAGAGAAGTCGATAATGGAGTTTGTAGCGAAACAAGTAGCACCGTACAAGAGGATACGAAAAGTGGCTTTTGTATCTTCCATACCAAAGAATCCTTCGGGTAAGATTCTGCGAAAGGATCTAATCAAGCTCGCAACTTCCAACTCCAAGCTTTGAATTGTTACAAGACTTTGTAATGCGACGGAATCTCAACAAGACTTTGTAATGAGAGCGAATCTCAGTGTATTTTTATCATTTGTACTGTAGTAAATCTGTTACCTTTGTGGAAATGTGACCCTGAGGTTCAAAGAAGATTACAATGGAGAACGTTATTGTTTATTTCAATACAGAGTATACTTTCGAAACATGGTTATGACCAAATATTTCATGGCTAAATTTAATTTTAAGACCAAATTATTTAGCCAAAGCTAGAAACTTGGATACTACATTACACCTAAGTTTTTGCAGCATTTACCAAATTTCCTTTAGTATATGATATAAAACCCGATTAATTGTCAGGGAATTCCTGGATTTTTACTGGTAGTTTCACGTTTTTGATATGGACATAGTGTAGTTTGGTAATACAACTTCTTTAACATGGAAAAATATAAACCGGAACGACACTTGGATTCTACGAGGTCTTGGTGTATACTCGAGTTTCATTGTTTTTTCGAAAAAGTATTACTATTATATTAGGTCTCATTGTGTAAATATCCCCGGAAGTCCAATTCAGACTAATCAACCAATCCATCAACTCGTTTCGACCCTTGTATAACTCTTCCTCAGCTCAATCCCCGGAAGTTCAATTCAGACGCATCAACCAATCCATCAGAAACTGGTCTAACAAATTCAGGTTTTGATTCAATGACCCTCTGTGGTTCACTGTTTTTTATTGTAGGTTTTGTCTCACAATCTTCCGAAGCTAGAAAGGTTTAAGTGCCTTACGGTGCAAGCAAGGGTGTGTCTCTTAGTGTCCTACCAAAAGGAAATATACCACCATCAGGTCCAAACGACAAGGTCACATTTCTCCTCGGGATGCTTCCGATTAGCCTATGGTGCCTTGAAAACTAGCCGGATATTCACCGTCCCTAGCCCCTGCGTGTGTCATTAGGCACATTAATATTCTAAATTTTAATTTTTAACAATCTCAGAGCTGCATCATCCATCTATACACACATGGAGAAAATGGCGGATTCCGAAAGATCATCAACATCGCTTATCGATCCTCAAAGCGGTTTCTGTATTGCTAACTCCACATTCTACAGTAAACGTAACGCATTGCCACTTACGGCAAACTCCTCGATTGACATCCCAGCATTCATGTCCTCGCAAGCTCACCACCGGTTTCATCGAGGCCGCCACAGGCAACCGAATAAGCTTCTCCGATATCTGGAGTGCAGTTTATCGTGTCGCCGACTGTCTCCACCACGACCTCGGAATACGGAGAGGCGACGTTGTCCTTGTCCTCTCTCCGAACTCTATCTCCATCCCCGTCGTCTGCCTCTCAATCACTCTCGGTGCCGTTGTCACCACCGTGAATCCTCTCAACACCGCCGTTGAGATCGCCAAACAGATCGTCGATAGCAATCTAAAGCTCGCCTTCACAACTCCCGAGCTAGCTCACAAAATAGCCGCCTCCACCCCTATCTCCGTTGTCCTTACGGAGGACGACGAGGAGCGTGTGGGATCCAAAACCGGAATCAGAGTGGTTGGGATTCTGAGCGAGATGGTGAACAAGGAACAGAGTGGTCGACGAGTCAGAGACCGAGTTGACCAAGACGACACGGCGATGCTTCTCTGCTCGTCGGGAACCACAGGACGAAGTAAAGGAGTGATGTCATCTCACGGAAACTTAATCGCGCACGTGGCGAGATTCATTGTAGAGCCATTCGAGCCAGATCAGATCTTTCTCTGCACCGTTCCGATGTTCCACACCTTCGGATTACTGAACTACGCCATGGCCACCGTATCATTGGGTTCCACGGTTGTGATCCTCCGAAGATTCGAACTCAACGAGATGTTGGACGCGGTCGACAAGTACAGAGCCACGAGCCTGGTTTTGGCGCCACCGGTTTTGGTGGCTATGATCAACGACTCAGACCGGATCAAGGCTAAGTACAATCTAAGCTCCCTGAACCGGTGGGGCCCCGTTGAGCAAAGAGGTTACGGAGAGTTTTATAGAGAAATATCCAACGGTCGACATTTTTCAAGGCTACGCTTTGACGGAATCAAACAGCTCAGGAGCTTCGATGGATTCGGTGGAGGAGACCCGGAGATACGGTACGGCGGGATTGTTGTCGTCCGGCGAGGATTGTGGATCCGGATACGGGTCGGGTCATGGGAGTGAACCAAACGGGCGAGCTCTGGCTCAAAGGACCCGCTATAACAAAAGGTATACGCGCGTACTATATAACCGTGGCCAAAAATATAACAGATTTCCAATTAATGTTTAAATTTTAAAAGGTTATTTTAGAAACGAAGAAGCTACAAAAGAAACTATTGATTCAGAAGGATGGCTTAAAACTGGAGATCTATGCTACATTGACGAGGATGGATTTCTTTTTACCGTGGACCGATTAAAAGAGCTAATCAAATACAAAGCTTACCAGGTTAGTAAGATTGATTTGCGTAAACTTTGTTATTGATTTGTTTTACAAAAATTATGTTTGTGTGTTGCTCGATCTCTAGATCTGTGGTAAACGTGTTTTGGTGATCATTGCATATACATAGGTCCCTCCAGCTGAATCCCGTAAGTCACAACAACACTCTTCGTTTTTCTTATATACCAGATTTGTTTTTTTATAATGTTTTGGCGATTTACAGGTTTCCAAACAAAGAAGTGGGCCAAATTCCGATGGCGTACGTTGTGAGGAAAACAGGGAGCTTCTTATCGGAAAAGCTGATAATGGAGTTTATAGCGAAACAAGTAGCACACCGTACAAGAAGATACGAAATGTGGCTTTTGTATCTCCTATACCAAAGAATCCTTCAGGCAAGATTCTACGCAAGGATCTCATCAAGCTCGCAACTTCATCCTCAAAGCTTTGAAATTGTTACAAGAATTTATAATGAAAGACACAATCTCCATGTATTTAATCTGGCACCTTTGTGGACCAACAAAAATCAATTAACAATTTACATCCATATAGAAAGATATATCCCGACCGTGAGGTCACAACAGTTAAAATTTACACACAAACAAACACGGCTACATTTAAAGGGTCAGATAAACCCATCATTATGTTATAACAGTGCATGTGCATTAAGAGTCGGATCAACCAATCTTTATTGATGATATATCGTTAAGAACAAACAAAAATATATCGTTAAGAACAATAAAGATCAATAACAATCTCGAGATGTAGGCTCTGCCCGTTAGTATTATGGGCTCTGTGCCAAAAAAAAAATTTTGGTATCCCAGACCATGTGATTCGTCCCTAATCCGCGTTTCGTCCCAACCCTTAATCGTCCCTTCCTAGTCCTTACCCTTACTCATTCATAACTGTGATGTCTTATATACATTAATACATATAACATTTCATGAAATATAATTAAACAATCGAAATAATATTATTTACAAAATCAATACTGTATATTATTAAAAACGAACAATAAATTATCGACATGATCATAGACATGTAAATTGTTTTCGTAGAGAAAAAATTATTCTACGGTATGTTTCTACAAAGCAGCATCTTTATAGAGTCCAATGCAATTTCCGGTATCTTCGGGAGGTTTACACAA